TGAACTACCAGGATGCGCTCAAAGTACTGACTCGAAAGGCTGTCCCAATTGACAAGATAACTCGGCCTTCCTCTTGGGAGTCAAAGATTCAGGTCGCATTGGCTCCTTAATGGGGCATCTGTAACACGCCCATTCGGTTGGGGGGAGGGAAGAGGGTGTCCAACCGACCCCGGATCGTATTTTTAAAAAATCAAGGCCCGAGCTGTGCGCATGTGACATATTTAGCCGAGTTGGTTGCTCTCATCCGTTAATGTACCTGATCCTGCTTACGGCCTTCTTTACCTTGTGTCCCCACCGGCCTTAGGTGGGTGAGAGTGAAAGGACAGACCAAGGTAGATGCTGGGTAAGTGCATGTTCACTATAAACTAACTTACGCCATCATCAGCGCTCAGCATGCTATGGAGCACACGGCGGGCATCGCGTCGGTAACGATGGTTGGACTGTCGAAGCAACAGCAATTTTCAAGAGAACAATACGAAGACACAGTTAGTGGTCGCATACCTCGACGCGTTTTGGATCCATTTCTGGCAGTGCGTTTTCCTCTTCGTTGATGCCCTGATCTTCAGGTAGAAGTAGCTCCTCAACAGGGTCATCTTCATTGCGATCAAGTTCAATGTCCTCTATCTCCTCATTCTTATTCTCCTCCACCCCTGTACTTTTAGCTGCATCTGCCGCCGCCGACGTTGAAGGCACTGCTGCTTTATTCTCATCAGACGCCTTCCGGTTTTTGGCAGACGAGCTTGAGGTCGTCTTCTTTGCAGTGCCTTCTGCGGGAGGAGAAGATTCCTCGTTGAAGGGCCAGTTCGAGTCCTCGTCGGCTGCATCCTCCTTATTGGCCTCAGGATCGAGGCCAATCTCGCGCAGTTCGGCGACCTCATCATCGTCCTCGTCAAGGTCAACTTCTGCACCGTCCACCTCAGCAACGGGTTCGTCTTCAGCTTCCAGACGCCGCCGGCGAATGGCCTGTAGGGAGCACGTGGGGCGCAGGATAAATTACCACTATTCGCGGGAATAATGAGTGAAAATGTCAATCAGAATGCCTGGGCGTGTTTTTAATCCGAAGAATTACATCAGTATAGTTGTACTGTTAGTTATTGTGCAGCCTCATCCAAAGGTATTTCAGTTATGGCAGGATTACGGTTCTTTAAAGGGCTTCTTTCCGCCTGCCTGCCAACACGACACTGTCGAACATCACTACTTAAGTATTATAATTTCTTCTCATTGATCATGCACCAAAATATCCTTCCTTGTGCTCGTTTGAGAATAGATTACGCCTTCAATTTGAAAAGAAAAACCTTTACAATTGCCGAATAACTGTTAACTCAACCATCTTTCACACTTTCATCTGGCGTTTCCAAACTAAACGAACAAGGAAAAGCACATACTTATTTACGCTATGACAAAGATGTCACCTAGTGCTTACAAAAGTTGGCACTGGATAAGGACCAGATTGTATACACTATAAGCAGCACTTATAAAGGAATGGATATAATGCTTTACATATTGACATTTCGTGGTTTAAACAATCTAATAATTAGAAACTCTTTGTTTAAGTAGAAGTAGACTTTATTTTCTGCCACCTGAATATCAGAGAGAATACTTTGTGCATATGTTTGAATTTACAGTGAGACTTAGAAAACAATGCGAAAATACGTATTATCTATGAAATCATTTTGGCGGTGCAGTTTTCGCAGACTCATTCAAAGAGCAGCATCCTGAATTAACTGAAATATATTGGGATTAGAGCGCATAAATATTATAATTGTTTTGAAGTAATTCTGCCGAATAGAAAATACGTTTCAGAATGTCGGTTGATATTTCACGAGAGAGCAAACCCATTGCAAAGTACGCAACGATAATAGCTGCTATAGAAGGTACCGCGAAGTAGTAAATTACGCAGAAGGGTGATCAAAAAAGAAGATCTCGATCATCAGACCGGTACTTATTTTTTCCCTAAGAGTAGAATAGGACAATTTACCGATTGTGCTGATTTAGCGAACGCTAAGTTGCGTAAGGTGTCTTGACATATTTCGGTACGGGCGGATTCACAAAATCGGTAGGGTTTCTAGTTCAAGGTTGTCTACTCCAGCGTCTTGCCACAGTATATTTTTGTGGGACAACACATTTACTAGGAAGTTCCTAGTCGCTGAGTTGCAGAAACATTATCGGGCATTCACTTCGCTTCCTGGTGACGACGCCGTTGCTGCTAATTATCAATTACTTCTTCGGTTTACTTACTTCCCAGCTGGCCTTCCTGAAGGCCGTTTCATTATCCGCCCATCGGTGTCATCTCGGATAACTAGAAGCTATGTTACCGGGTCACGCTCGTTTTCCAGCTCACCACCTGAGAAAATACTTCGTGTCAATGACGCAGACGGTACGTCTCGAGATCCAACGTTCTCTTAACCCATTCTTTGTAAGCAAGGAACAATAGGCAATAGCTATGGCAGGGGACAGAGTATGAAGGCCACTGCCACCTAGTCAGTCAGGCAAAGATATAGCAACCAGCCCAGACCTTAAAAGCGCAGCAGTTGGTCTGCCTTTGCAAAAAACGCAGATAAAGTTCGGGAGAATAGGAAGAGGAGGAGGATTTCGTATGCTTTTTCACAGTTAAGTGCCCTCCTTAAATTAACATCGTGAAGATGCCGGTGAGGGTAGTGAAATAAGCCAACAATACAATGTCGTTTTAGATAGGGGATCAACGTACAATAATGGGGAGGGAGGGTTGCGCTACAGAGGGGAGAGTGCATAAAGAGAACGCTGTTGGATGGCGGATTCTACGAGGCACAGTAATTGGGAGATAAAACAAGTAAAGCTGGTGCTATAATTTAGATCATAAAAATAAGCAGAGCGGAGGCACAGACAAAAACAACTTTTGGTTAATGCTGTTGCTGGTAGAGCATGTGGGGCTTTTAGATAGCCAGTAAACTTGGGGGGAACTAGTAGATCACCAAGTGGACCCATTAATTTTTAGCACGCGCCAGAAAGAAGTTGAGTCCACAAACACCCAAACAGGCTGGTGCGCACAAACCATACCAACGCAGTTTGGAGATTGTAACCAAGCGGGCTAAACAATTCTTATACACCTGGGTCCTGCCACCGAACAAGTTTTTTTTTATTTCAGAATTAATTAAATCTGTATAGATGCAATTCACGGTACTTGACTTCTGGAGTCCACTTTCCAGTTAAGTATGCAAAAGGATTCTTGGCTGGGTTATATTGTCACATTAAATATTTTGAGGTAATCATACGTGGAACCGTGCGAAGGCCTACCTCAGCTCCATCGTCTTCATTCCACTCGTCGCGATCGGATGTCTTTCGGGGTCCAGAGCCCGCCTCATCTTCGGCTTCACCTTCACCCCTGGATGCGGCCATCTGCTGGCGAGCCAGAGCCTTGAGTGCGAAGCTCTTTATTTGCCTGGGTGGGGAGGGGGGAGAAAGGAATACGTATATCTTAGTACAGCCCGAATCTTCAGTAGCCTAAGCCGCCTCCAATCAGCATGAGAAAGGTGTAAAAAAACGCTAGAATTGCTTAGGCAGTTTTCTGTACAGGGGAAGGAGGAGAGAGGGGGTGGGATTTATGCCTTAATATTCATCTTCAGCCTACCATACTCAAATGATTCAGGTCCGGACTATGGCTTCGCAATTTTTAGGTCGACTGCTGTAGTACTGAGCCACGGGCTCACGTCGAATCCCTTGCAAAACAGGAGGAGTGTTTACCGACATACGATGATCGCAGGGTGTGTGGAGCAAACCGGTCTGGAAGCAAGTCTCAAGTCGTTCCAGTCTGTAGTTGGGGCATAGCCGGTTGGTTCAATACGGCAAGCCCACTGCAATGTATGGGATCCATCAAGTCGGATACCGTACGCCGGCTGTCAGGCAACCAAGCTAAAATCCTCCAGATTACTATCAGGCGCAACTACTTAATGGAGGTATTAAGAGAGTTAATAATCCATTTGATAGGATATGAACTTACGACAGCAACAGTAGGGCTTTGATACAGACAACGCTCTAAACACCTGAGCTACGAAATCACACCAGGAGCGGTTGGTTTAATCACAGTTGGGTCAAGTTACCCGCGAAGCCCACGGCGATGTATGGAATCCATGAAGTCGGACACCGTACGCTGGCTGTCCAGACACGATTTCCTAAGCAAACAAGCTATAATCCATCAGATTGCCATCAGACGCAACTAATTAAGAGAGTTAATAATTCATTTGAAACAATTTTTAAAACTAAGGCGATTTCCCCTTTGCTGTCGTGGATTCGAATCCCACCGAGTGTTTTCACAATTTGGTCAAATTAAGGCCATGAGTTGTTACTTCAGCCACCGTAGAAAGTTTGAAACTGTGACCTGAGTATACAGTCGCTGTGCTTCTGATGAAAACGGATCTCCATTTTTTGGAACAAAAGTGGCCAAACGATAACTTGTACCAAAACCGCATTTCAACTTACGTCGACTTGCCCTGATCACGAAGTTCCACTTCCAGACGTTTAGCTAGACTAGGCAAAAAGACACGCTCAAAGAAGCGGATGATGCGCTGAGGCTTCACATTGGTCCTTG